CTAAACCCCCCCCCCCCCCTGCACCTTTTGTAAATCTCCTAACTCTCACTTGCAAATGATACCTCGACATTCTGCTTGATGTAAACTAGATTGGAAAAAAGTGCCTACGGCTGTGGCGGGGGCTAGACGAGCTTGTTCTCGAGTCGGCGCTCGTGCTTGAGGCTGGAGAGCAGCTGGATGGTCTTGTCCAGCGGCATGGTTTCCGCCTTGCCCTTCTGGTTGACGTCGTCGCGGTTGCGGATGTTGACGCTGCTCGTCTGCATCTCCTCGTGGCCGACGACAAAGACAAAGTTGTACTGCGCGATTTCGCCGTTCCTCACCTTCTTGGGCAGCGTGTTGTCCGACAGATCCACATCCGCATAGAAGCCCTGATCCCACAGTTGCTGCTGCACCTTTTTGGCGTAGTCGAATACACTCGCCGTCACGGGAACGACGAGCACCTGACGCGGGCTCAGCCAGAATGGCCACTTGCCTGCAAAGTGTTCGGTGAGGATGGCAATGAAGCGCTCCAAGGAGCCGACGATGGCGCGGTGGATCATCACCGGTCGCTCTGCCTGCGTCTCGCCACCCTGCGATACGGCAGTGCGGTACTCGAGCTTGAACTGCTGCGGCAGCTGGAAGTCGAGCTGGATCGTCGCACACTGGTGGTGGCGTCGCATGGCGTCCGAAATGGTAATGTCGATCTTGGGGCCGTAGAAGGCGCCATCGCCCGGGTTCAGCTCCCACTTGCCCGGCACAAACTTGTCCAGCGCAGCCGCCAGCCTCGCCTCGGCCGCATTCCACGTCTCGACATCGCCCAGGAACTTGTCCGGACGCGTCGAGAGCTCAAGCTTGAACGTAAAGCCGAACAGACCGTAGACGCGCTGGAGAAAGTCGAAGCATCCCGCCATCTCGTGTTCGATCTGGCTCGCCATGCAGAAGATGTGCGCGTCGTCCTGGCAGAAGCGCCTGACGCGCGTGAGGCCGCTCAGCGCTCCGCTCGCCTCGTTGCGGTGGATCACGCCAAAGTCGGCCAGACGCAGCGGCAGCTCCTTGTACGACCGATCGCGCGACGCAAACATGAGGCAGTGGCCGGGACAGTTCATCGGCTTGAGCGCAAACGTCTCCTTGTCCACGCCGAGCGCAAACATGTCGTCCTTGTAGTTCTGCCAGTGTCCCGACGTCTGCCACAGCTTCGAGTTGTACATGTTGGGCGTGATCACCTCGTCGAAGCCGCGCCCGCGGTACTCGGACTTGATGTACTCCTGCAGCGTGTTGTAGATGCGTGCGCCGTGCGGCAGCCAGAAGCACGAGCCGGGCGAGAGCTCGTGGAACATGAAGAGCTCCTGCTCCTTGCCGATCTTGCGGTGGTCGCGCTTCGCCGCCTCGAGCAGGAACTGCTTGTACTCGCTCATCTGCTTGGCGTCCGGGAACGAGATGCCGTAGAGACGCTGCAGCGAGTCGTTGTTCTGGTCGCCCAGGAAGTACGACGCCGAGTTCTTGAGCACGGTCATGGCCTTGATGCGGCCCGTGTGCGGGATGTGCGGTCCGACGCAGAGGTCGATCATCGGCCCGCAGCGGTAGACGGTGGTGGAGGTGCCGTCGGGGATCTTGGACTGGATGATGTGCTTCTTGTACTTGTTGTAGTGGAACATGTCGAGCAGCTGCTGCTTGCTGACGACGAGTCGCTCGAACTTCTGCTTTTCCTTGGTGGCGTTCTTGACGAGCGTCTCGAGCGCGCCAAAGTCGGCCTGGCTGATCATGCGGTCGCCCGAGTCGCCCATGGCCATCTCGTAGAAGAAGCCCTCTTCGGTCGGGGGCCCGATGCAGAGGTGGCAGCCGTAGTGCTTCTCGCACGCCTCGCCGAGCACGTGGGCGGACGAGTGCCAGAAGACGCGCTTGCCCTCGGGCGACTCAAAGTCGAACAGCTCGAGCCTGCAGTCGGCCTCGAGCGGGCGTTCGAGGTCCCAGAGCGTGTCGTCGACCTTGGAGATGACGATGCGCTCCGAGAGCGACTTGGAGATGGCCTTTGCGATGTCCATGGGCGAGGTCTCGAACGAGGTGCCCTCGCGCTTCGATCCGTCGGGCATGGTGACGGTGATGGGCTGGCGCGGCTTGGCGGCGAACTCGGCGTCCTGCTCCGCCTTGAGCTTCTCGAACATGGCGATGCGGTGGTCAAAGTAGGCGGGCTTCGGGCTGAATTCGAGCGGCGCCTTGGGCCCAGCATCGGCGCCTTCCTTCTTGGCCTTGGGCTTCTTCTCGCCCTTTGGCTGCTGCTGCTGCTGTTGCTGCTTGGGCTGCTTGGGCTGCTGAGGCTTGGCGTTCAGGTCGACATTCTGTGCGGCGTCGGTGAGGTTTTGGACCGGGTCAGCGGCCTGCGCCGACGAAGCGACGGGCTGAGGTGCAGACGACGACATGGCGATCGTTGATGGTGGTGGTGGTAGGAAGAGAGTCGTGTGCTGCATTGCATTGCATTCATTCACACACTGCCAATCGGAAGGTCAGAGCGGCGCCAAATTTTCGAGTCAGATTTGGCGCAGCTTTGCGAGTCGATTGGATAAAGCGCTCTGCTGCTGCGTTTTTTCCCCCTCTTCGAGCTTCTGCTGCGCTGCCGCTGTTCCGATGGCTGCACGTGACTGCACTGGCGGCTGCATCCGCACTGACCAACACTTCTCTCTGCTTCAATCGCTCCGACCCCTGTCATCCTCCTCATCATCCGACCTTCATCATCATCAAAACACACACACGCGTCGCCCAGCATGTCGGCGCCCACTCCGGCTACGCAGCCGGTCAAGACCAAGTCCAAGGCCTACTCGTCCACCGTGGCCATCCAGGGCGACGCCGCCAAGTACCGCCTCAAGTACAAGGAGCTCAAGAAAAAGGTGCGCGAGATCGAGGTGGAGAACGACAAGCTGCATCTCAAGACGCTGCGCATCAAGCGCAACGTCCAGCGCATGCGGCTCGAGCGCGCCATCCTCTACGAGCGTCTCGAAGCCGAATCGCAGGCGACGCCGTCCATCGCGCCCTACCCTCCGCCGCCCGCACAGCAGCACCACTACGATGCGCCGCTCGAAGACGTGCGTCGCGACGATGCCTATCGCTCCCCCGCCGTGCGTGCTGAGCAACCACCTGCCGCTCGTTCGCATGCCGACTACGCCTATCCGCCAGCATCGGGACCCAGCGCCTCGTATCGCGCGCCGTCCCACTCGTCGGCTGCGCCAGCGAGACAGGCATACGCGGCGTACGATGACTATCCGCCACCACCACCGCGTTCGCACGCACATGCTCCTGCGCACCTGCACGCACGCGCCTATGCTCCGCCTGCACAGACGTACGACCGCCACCACTCGCCACCCGCGCACCCACCCGCCTCCGCCGGCGACCGCGCAGAGCGTCTGAGGCAGTACACCGAATCCGCCTCGCCCGAACCCGCCCCGGGCCGCGCAGACGCATCCATCGCAGACACGCCCGCAGATGCCTTGCCGCCTTCCGCCTCGCGCTCCAGCATGAAGGTCACCCTGCGCAGAGGTGCATGATCCTGCCTGCTTTGCTTTTGTACGTCTCTCGATCATTCCTGTATTCTAGCTTCTCGGTAACCGCGCACACTCTTTGCGTCTGCATTTCTGCGTGCTCATATGGATGGGTTAGGAGCTAGGCGGCTTGTCCTGTGGTGGACGTGGCAAGGTTGTATGTGCCGATGGTGTGCGCATCGCCGTGCTAGGTTGCAAGCGTGTAGGTGGGACTGTGCGTGGCATTGCCAAAGCCTGACCCAAGGAACCCGTTGCTCTAGCCGGTGGTACACTGGCGCCTTGTCGAGCAGTTGGCACGCCCAGACTGCCCAGATTGCCCTGTCGTCCACCCAGCGCCATGCCCCTCGCGGGCGGCACTGTAGCCTGCCCCGCCACTGGCGCTGGATTGTCGGGCCACACAAGCCCGACCTTGCCGAACGGCAGATGCTGCACCACCACCTTTTTGGAGAGACACTCGGCGGCGTACATCTTGAGCATACCCGCATGCAGCTTGATCCAGTTGGGCACGGACGAGGCAATGTCGTGCAGCAGTGGGCTGTGTTCGTGGAACGGCCCGCGCTTGAGCACCTGGATCCGCAACAGCGAGCTGAGGTACAGATTCGGCACCACCACGCCCTCGTTCCCACTCAGCAGCGAGGAGGGTAGCTCCAGCGCGCGCGATATGAGCGTCGCTGGATCGCGTGCACTGCCCAGCTGGTCTTGCAGGATCGAGGCGTGCGCAGAGACAGCATTCACGTGGCTCGGTCGGAGCGCGGATTGACTGCGCAGTTGTGCGGCACCGATCACGTAGGGGAGAAAGTGAAAGTCGTCCAGACCCCATACGCCGTGGGAGCCTGCCGGTTCGAGGCCGTACCGATCCTGCAATCGCCACGCCACCAGCAGGTATAGTGGAAACACCTCGAGCCCCAGCACCTCCTCGACGCGCGGATCGGCCACCTCGCCCCAAGTCGAGTCGGTGAAGAGACCGAGGCGGTACAGCATGCTGAGCCAGACGAAGAACGCGAGTTCGTGGCCGCTGCCGTAGTCGATGCGCGTAAAGCTGCCGAATGCGTCGAGCAGGTACGCGCCCAGCTCGGGCGCAAAGGCCACCAGATGCGGGGGCAGCAGCTCGTGGTGTAGCTTCTCGATGCGCTGCCTCAGCCGTGCTCCCCAGTCGCGGAACGCCAGATTGCCAAACCGCTGCGGCTTGGCGTGCGGCTCGATCGAGTCCGTCCAGCTGTTGAGCTCGTAGAGCAGCCGCACCAGCCTCTCCACCGCTCCCTCTTTGGCCGCGGTGGCAGCGGGTGGCGGGGGAAGACGCGTGGGCTTGCCAACACACGCTTCGCAGATGCGCTGCACGAACAGCGTGTAGACCGCATACGCCTCCGACTGCTGCCAGACGTGCACGTCTTCTTCCGAATGGATCTGCTTGATGGGCGGGGCAACGCGCGCGAGGGTGGCGGCATCGTGCGCGATCGCCGGCAGCGGGGGCAGCGACTGCGCCGCCAGAGTAGCCGTGGAGGCAGTGGACGCCGCAAGGCCGGGAGCAGAGGACGACGCTTGCGCCCGTCGTAGGGCTGGAGTGATCAGCGGCATGGTCGGTGGGGGTGTTGCGAGAAGAAAGAAGGCGGCTCTCAAGGGTCCACCTTGCAAGGCGCCGTGTGGAGGTTTTTCCCTCCCGACAAACACGCCGCTGGACGGACGATGTCCTCCTCCTCCTCCTCCTTTTCCTTTTCATTCTCCTCGGCCGCTTGAGCTGCAACCACCAACGCCGCACACCCATGGAGCAGCCACGCTGGACGAGCTCGCGTGTGGCGAACCGACGCGTCACGCAGTCGTCCACTCCCGCTTCCGCATCCGCATCCGCACGGCCAGGTGCCACGTCAGCACCGTCGACGAGCGGGGCCGCGCAGAGTCGATGGGCTCCATCTTCCTCCTCTTCCACATGGCGCACGCAACCTCCCGCACCAGCGCCACGAGTCAACAGCGATACACGCGTATCCAACAGTGCTACAGGCGCATCTAGCTCACGCTGGGCACGTACATCCGCGCCATCGGACCACGACATGGCTGCCCTCACGGCGACACTCGGCAGCACATTGATCCGCGACTCTGGTCGACGGGACGGGCTTCATGTGCGCGACACCACTCGTCCGCTGGGCGGCAAGACTTTGGACCGGCTGGCGCTGCTAGCGTCCCCGTCGCGCGGCCTCGACTCGTCCGCGTCGATCTCGAGCGAGCTGGCGTCGCAGGGGAGTATGGACCTCACCTCTGCGTCTGTTCAGGCCGAACTGCGGGGCTACATCGGTGACCGAATCACCACACGCGTACTGCCGTTGCTATCTGCGCACGTGCCGCCACTTGCGGTGCTGGATTCGGCGACGTACCTCGGTGCAGCCCGAGCAAGCGCTGCGGAAAAGACAGCGGCGGATGAGGAGTTGGGACAACTCATGCTGCAGACGCGCAAGCTGCGCGAGGCGGTGGTGGCGAGTCAGCGAGTCGACGCTTTTGCAGTTGACGTGTACGAGCTCTCAACATACATGGCGCTGCTGTGTGCGGATGTGCCCCAGCTAGCCGCCACGCTGCCGCGGCTCGTCACGGAGCTGTACCCGCGCATGGAGCCGCAGGACTGCCCCGGTGCAAGCGGTGTGCGCGAGCTGGCAACGAGGCTGGGCTTGGAGATGTACGATGCAGCGGAGCGCAGGATGAGGATGTGCTCGGTGTATTTGTTGTATGTGCTGTGTCTGTCCGGCCGCGCGGTGCGGTTGGGACAGTATGCACAGGATGCTGCGGGGGGAACACAGCATGGTCTGCGCGAGTACAGGCTGCTGCGTTCCAAGCTTCTAGCTCGGTATCCCGACTTGGAGCCGCACGTGCGATTCTGCGATCGGGTATATACGGCGCTGCGCGGGGCGGACCCGCTGCAGCTCGCACGCATACTCCGCGGAAACGATGCAGAGTACAGGATGGACGGATGGCAGAGGATGTTGGTGCTGCATGCTGTGCCTGCCGTGCGCGCTGCGGCATGGCAAGTGGCCACCAAGGCGTACATGCACCTACCCGTCTCGTCCCACTTGGCTGGCATCATCAGTCCCGACGCCGTGGCACAACCCAGCCCACAGACGGCACACGAGTCGCACCTAGCTTCCCTCCTGCTACTGCAGACCGACATCCTTCCGCCCGCTTCACCGCCGTCCAGCGACACACCAGACGACTGGGACACGGACTGGCAACCTCTGCCCGCAGAAGAGGATGCCCGCGTTCACCGCTTCCTCACATCGCACATCCCCACGCTTGCATCACGTCTAACGTCGATTCGGTCGGGCGCAGCGGTCAAGCTGCGCTAGTTGTTCTGCACAAACGCCAAGCTCGCCGGGGCGCTCTCGGCCGGCTTGACCGATACCTCGCTCATGGCCAGCTTGCCGGCCTTGACAACAAAGTGGCTTCGACGAGTCTTGTCTGCTGCGCCGGTGAGGTGTTTGATGAGCTCGCGCTGCGGGTCCGAGATGAGCGTGTAGGGAAAGTTCTGCTTGGCCTTCCAGTTGGCAAGCGAAGTGGGCGAGTCGTTCGACAGGCCGTACACGGCGTACTTGGCAGCAACAAACTCGTCGTGCGTGTCGCGGAACAGCTTGGCCTGTGTAGTACATCCGCCCGTGTTCGCCTTGGGATACCTGTTCATCAGCCATCAATAGCGTCAGCAAAGCGGACCGGAAGAGAGGCAAGAGAGGATACACGCACGTAAAGATGACAGCGTCCGAAAGATCAGCTGTACTGATGTCCTTGCCTTCGTCCGTCTTGAGCGTGAGTGCGGGCAGAGGGTCGCCCACTTTGAGCACGCCAGATGCTTTGGCTTTGGGCTTCTTCTCCCCGTCGGCGTCAGTGTCGGCCTTGCGCTTCGCCACCGCTGGCTTGGCTGCTGGCTTGGGAGCAGCTGCAGGCGCGGCAGGCTTGCCCGCATTGCGCGCACTACGTCGTGGTGCCTCACTCATCTTGACCAAACACCGAATGGATGGAGGATGCAAGCAGAGTTGCACAGGCATCCATCCACCAGTCGTCCTCTTTCCCCTCCACCAAGAGTCTACTCTTTGTGCGCCCGTGCATGAAGCTGGCTATCCATAAACACGCGCTGGTCCGTGCCACCCACACCCGACTCCTTCTCAAATTTCCCCTTCCGCTTTTAGGTTCCACAGAACTCGGCCGGGGCAATATCACATGCGAACTGGGTATAATGGTCGTTGCATCCGCTTCCGCCTTCTCCATGCAGGGTGACAGCTACGATGCGCTGCCTTTGGCCTTGTTGATGAGGTTGCGCACGAGACCGCGCTTGGCGCCCGAGCCGGGCTGCGATGCCGCACCGCCGCCAGCCACCTCCACTCGTCCCGCCGTTTCGTCGGTCGACCACCGGCTGTGGCCGTACGAATCCGACGCGCCGCCGCCTGACGCCTGACTCGGCGTCTGCGAGTGCGTCGACGACGAAGTGGCACTGCGAAGCATATTGAGACTCGGCCGGCGCAGCCCTTCCCAACGACCGCCTATCTTGTCGCGGCCAACTTCCTCTCGCCCATCGCCGCCGCGCCATGAAGACCAGGTGGCAGAGTCCGGCGTCAGCATGCGCCTGTCCGACGCCACGCGCTCGTCCAGCCCCAGCGAGCCGAGTTCGCCCAGCTCGCCCAGCTCAGCCATGTTGATCGACTCTTTGCGCGGAGGCGGCACGGGCGGCGTCGAGCTCGCCGTGCTGCTTCCGGCGCTGTCGCTCAGCCCAACCGCAGGCGAGCGCTCCCTGCGTGCAGCCGTGTACGAGCTCAGCTCCGTCGGCATCGACGGGCTGTGCCGATGTAGGCTGCGCGGCGACGTGGCAAACTTGTCGAGCATGGTGCGGCCGCCTCCGAGCACAGGCGTCTTGGGATCGTCTTCGTCGCCGTCGTCCATGTCGACCGCCGGCGTCGGCTGAGCTGCTGCAGCCAGCGCGAGCGCTCCCACTCCCCCGTGCAACGTGACGGGCTCGTGGCGACGTCGGCGCTGGTCCTTGGGCGGCACAGCGGGCGCAGGGTCGCGCACATCTTGGGTTTTGCTTGGAGCGGGCCTCGGTGCGATCGACGATCCCGAGGCGTCGCCAGCGGCGTCGTCCCGCGTCCAGCCCTGCGATGACTGCAAGTGCATGGGCGAGCCGAGTCCACTCGCAGCAGAAAGCTTTGGCGAGAGCACCGGCTGCCTCTCCGTACCGAGGCCATGCGGCTCGAGCCATCCGCTCTTCTGCATTGCGTCGCCATCTTGGCCTCGACTTGCCGTTCCGGCACTGCGCTCGACACTGCGCTCGGCGCTGCCTTCAGTCAGCTTCGCCCTGTCCGACGAGGATTGGGTCGATCCAGCAAGGCTACGCTGCCCGGCATCCTGGGTCTGACGACCTTCGCTGCTGTGCGGCCTGCGCGAGACGCGTCGGTTGTACGACTGTGCTGCAGTGGCCGGGTAGTTGGGCGTGCGCGAGTCGCTGGCCGAGAAGCTGTGCGCGCTGTGGCTCGCCGACCGCGAAGGCGAGTGGTCCTCGCTCACGCTCGGCAGCTTGGAACGCAGCGCTGCGTTGCTGCCGCGAGTACTCAGACTCGGCGACGGCCCCGAGCGCGTGTCACCCGCTCGCTTTCTCTCGAGAGCCAGCGCTTCTCCGTACGCCGCCAGCTGGGCGGCGAGCGAGGCGCTCGTTCCACCAGGCCCGTCGGAAGCGAAAGGCGCGTTGTGGTTCAAGATGGCCTGCGCCTGCTCAGCTGCACTGAGATAGTTGGACCGCAGCGACGACGAAGACGCCTGGCTCGTCAGGCTATCTGCCACGGACGGAGCTCGAGCGGGTCGGCTTTGTGCCACAGCAGTGCCAGTGGCGTGCGCTCCAGCTGCAGAAGCTGCCATTCCGTTCTCTTCGGCAATTGACAGGGCTTGATAGCTCGCCGACAGACTGGGCGAGTCCCTCGAGTGCGACTCGCTGGATGCGACCCCGACTCCGATGGCACTGCTGCCGGAATGCGAGCCAGAGCTGAGCGTAGATACGTGGCTTCCAGATCGATCGCGAGTGTTGAGATTGTATGCGCCCGAGGGACCCAGCGCGGCATTAGTCCTGGCCAACAGCGCCGTGTCTCTCGGATCAACATGCTTGGGAGCCGTCGTGTTGCGCAGGGCTGCCGGGAGTTGGTGTGCGTGCGAACGGTCCTCGGCGTCGAGCGTCGAGTCTCCCGGCTCCGATTCTGCGTGGTGGAGGAACTCTTGCAGATCATCGTCGTCAGCGGTGTGATTGGCGGCAGAGCTGGCTTGGCTGCGTTCGTGGTCGGTCGTGTCGGCGCTGCGTGTGCTGGCTCCACTGACGGATCGGTCCCGGTTAGGAGTCGCGCGGCTGCCGGTCGAACCTGCTCGCTGGCGCTCGATGCGTGCGGCCTCGGTGGAAACAGAAGAGCCGAGATCTTGGCTGTCGGCTGGACCGTAGCTGCCCGGACGCAGAAGATCGAGGGACGCATTTCCTCTCAAGGGAAGCCGTGCCATGCGAGCCGAATTACTTGTGATCTGGTCGTTTGAGCCGGCACGCGCTCGTCGAACCTTGTTGCTCACGGACAGTGGATCGCGAGCGGCCGAGAGCGACGACGAAGAGGAAGTGGACCGAAGGCGACGCTGTTGGTCGAGCCGAGGCAGAGGTGGTTGGCCTGCGGCGGCGAGGACTGCATCTGGGTCCTCGCTCGAGCTCTCGCTGGCGCCATGGCGGCGGGTGCCTCGCTGCAGCGAGGATGCCGCAGGGCGTGGATAGTCGAAGGACTTGCCCGATGCGCGTCCAGGCTTGGAGAGCACATCGAGATTGATGGGGAGACCACCGCCCATGCTGCTTGCTGCGGAGGTGTCGGCCAGGAAGGAGCTCGAGGAAGCGGGCATAGACGGGGAAAGCGTGGCGGACTGGCTGCCGGAATGCGATCCGCCAGTGGCTTTCCTGAGCATGTTGGAGAGGCTGCGTTTGCCGGCGAGCTTGGAGTGCTTCTTGCCCGGACTAGTGGTGGAGGCATCGTACGAGTGATCGGTGAATCTGCTGGAGGTTGCCTGCGACAGACTGCCGCCCATGTGTGATGATGAGCCGCTGGCGAGGGCGGCCCGGAGCGAAGCCGCCGGATGCGCGGCCTTTTCCAAGATGGAGGGTAAGGATGGCCGACGTTTGGACTCGCGTACGCTGCCAGATGCGGAAGCGGCGATGTTGGCACTGGTGGCGCTGGTCCCTGCTGCCGAAGTACTGTTGGAGGACGACGATCTGGTGGTGTTGGCGGTCGATGGTAGCTGGCCGTTCGAATCCCTGGATTCGAGCGTGAAGCCGGATGCAGATGCAGTGTGGGAGGCGCTCCTCGGCGCTGTCTGAGAAATGGAAGCGGACAGGGCGGAGGGCGAAGCGACGGGCAGAGGAGGCGTAGCGGCGGCGGTGGTGGTTTGGCTGCGGAGGTTGGGATTCGAGCTTGTCTTTGCGAGCAGGCCGTTCTTGGAAGGCGTGGCTGAGCGCGAGCCAGCCAACCTGGAGCCATTGTTGGTAGCAAGAGTGTCGGAAGAGGCTTGTGTGTTGAGTCCGATGTTGGCCTGAGGGGTGCTGGGAACGGAAAAGGAAGTGCTGCCTGCTGGTGCTGAGCCGCTGGATTGGGAGGCGGCCGAGGGTGAGAGTGGCGAGTTGCTCCTGCCGGAGGCGGCGTAGCGAATGTAGGCGGCGGGGCCGAGAGTGACGTCGCCGCTGACTGTCTCCCGCGATTCGACCATGCCTGCGAGGCCGTTGGAACCGTAGGCGGAGATCCAGGAGCGGATGAGGTTGGCGCACTCTGTGTGGCCGTTGCCGAGAGCGAGTGCCTCTGGGACGAGGCCGTCCTTGTCTACGGCGGCGGGACGCGCGCCTGCTTCGAGGAGGATGCGGACGATGTCGAGGTGACCATTGGCAGCAGCAAAGTGAAGTGGGGTGGATGCCTCTGCTCCCGGGCCGGTGGATCCCTTTGCCTTGAGGCGAGGCGCGTTGACGTCTGCGCCGTGGAAGATGAGCATACGGACGCTCTGCTCGCTTCCGCCGGAGCAAGCGGCATGGAGGGGGAGGATGCCGTTGAGGTTGCTGTTGGCTGGCTGGCCATTTTCGAGGGCGAACTTGACTAGACCGATGTTGCCTGTGGCGGCGGCATTGTGCAGGCCGAGATTGGGATGCATGCCGTCGATGTGGCCTGAGTTGCCGCCGAGGCCGCTCTGGCCGACGGCCTTGAGCGTGGTGCGACTGACAGCGCTACGCAGCATGATTGGTGCAGGGCGGTGAGGGCGACGTCGACTTGGTGGTCGGGTGGGACCGCGCCGAGGAGCGGCGAGATTGGATGGATGCAGAGACGCCGCAATCAGGGAGAAGAGGGCGGCATGCTGGGAAAGGGCGGCACTCGGCCCGTATCGAGGGCGATGTTCGAGCCACGCGTGCGCGATGAAGGTAGGTTGAGAAGCTGAAAAAGCGCAAAGGCAAGCAAGCGCTGTGCAGCACCGGGGTCGTGTGAGCTCAGGTGAACGCAAGTGGCACAGCCAGCTTGAGGGAGAAGGTGAGGATGGTGACTCTGGAAATAGCGGCGCGCAGTGTGTGATAGTGTCCAGACGCTAGATGGCTGGCCGTGGGATGGAGGCAGGGAGGCGAGGCGAGATGTGGCGAGGAAGTGTGGAGCTGAGCTGCGGGAGGCGATGTTGCTGCGGATGTGAAGTCGGGCGTTGGTCGGCGAGTCGTGAGAAAGTGGAGTGAGAATTGCGGCCGAAGCGCCGGCTGCTGGTCTCAGTCGCGCGGGTCGCCCGAAAAGCCACGCCTTTTGGAGGGTATGGAAATCGTATTCTGCGGCGGCTGCTCATGTTGCTGTGCTTGTTAGGCTTCTGCTGTGCTTGGGGCGGCTGCTGGGCTGCATCGCCCACCGAGCCCGACGCAGCTGGGCGCAACGGCGCGTGAGCTGCTGCTGCTGCTGCTGCTG